AGTCAGCGACGGGTTGATCTGATTGCAGTGGATTCAACCTAAGACAGGAAATTGACGTGTAAAGGTCAGTTCTCCCATGACGGATAAGAACCACATGTTGAATTGGACAACCTACCAGGCACGGTCCTAAGCCACATTGCTTGTTGTTTAATTAATCAGAAGGGGGGAGATGCTGAGGGCCATTACCAAGTAGGAATGACGCATCGAAATTTCCTTGCCAAGCGTACCCCGTGCTGCTTAGAGGACATTCGATGGGACATTGCATGCATACTTTAATAAGGTGACCTTGCTCAAGGACCAAGGCGGATCCGGGTTTAGAGCTGATCAGGTTTGAGGAAGTAACTGGCTCCTTGAGTTTAAGGCGTTGCCAGTTTAAGATAATGGGTTTTGGAGAGAGCCTCGTGGGTAGGTGGTTTGTGCGGGAGACGGCAGAACGTGTTTGCCCCTGGACCTGTGTGGAGGCGGTATGAGCGGGAATAAAGAATTGCTGTTTGAACCCACAAAGCTGTGAGTGCCTCGTGATTCTGGTGCCAAGCCGAGACATTGGCCTTGGCACAGGGGTCTTCCTTGGTTCTCTTCCTCTTTAAACCCTCAGCTGCTTCTGACAGTTAACCTTGGCTGTGAAACTCATTCTAACCTAATCTCTTAGCAAACTTCATTTTTCCTTATTCTCTTCTGAACTCCTAGGGAAGTTTTGTTTTCACTTTGTTAGCTCACTTCCTGTTTTAGTTAGCTTTTGTGTCACTGTGACCAAAATCCTCGATAAGAACAAGTGAGAGGAAGAAAAGTTTATTTGGGGCTCATGGTTTCAGAGATCTCAGTGAACAGATGGCCAGCCAACGCCATTGCTCTGGGCCCAAGGTGATGCAGCACATGATGGGGACAGGGCCCAGCAAAGGAAAGCTGCTCCTCTCCTGGGAGGTCAGGAGGCAGAGATGGAGAGAGAGGGGAAGGGGTCCCAGGGAAGATGCACTCTTCCAGGGCACACCCCCAGTGACCCCCCTCCTTCAGCCACACCCACCCGCCTACAGTTACCACTCAGTCAGTCCATTCCAATTAGGATGGACTCATAATCTAATCACTTCACATTCCTGCACTAACCCGAGATATCACAACCAAACACTTCCTTCTTCTCATCTAAGTGGGGATGTGCTTACCAGCAGCTCAGATCCCTCTTGTTCTCCTGCTTTGCTCTCCGCTTCTTGAAATGCTTCCATCATTCCATTACCAAGCTGATGCTGGCATCTCCAGCCCCGATGAGCCCTTTGCTTTCAGGATTTGATTTCCATCTGCTCAGTGGTCAAATCTACATCAGTGACCTACCATGCTTCAAGCTCCGTATGGACAAAGCCATACCTATCCTCTGACCCATCTGATCTCCCTTTTTGTGCCTTATCCTATTCCTATTCACCTTGGAATCAATCATCTTTTATTCATTCTTTTCTTTCAGGACCTCTATTCAGTCCATACCCAGGGAATTTTTTTTTCATTAAGTATTGCTTTAAGTATTTCTTTTAATTTCCACTTCTTATGTCCTCATCCAGACTTTAGCACCCTCCATCAGCATCATGGCATCATATATGTAAGATGCTCAGTGAGGCAGATACCTCTGATTTCCTAGTAAGTATTTATTCTCTTTTCTTCATTTATTGAAAGAACTTTGGTTATTTGGGAGGGAGACAGCAACATGCCCAACTGAAATACCTTCTGTTTTCCATGTAATCCGGGATGAAGATCTATTTCTGCTGATGAGCAACTCTGCGAGGTGGGGATTCTGGGAGATCGTGTTTTCCTGACAAAAGTGAAGATCCGGCTGGCACCTGGCTTTAGCCCCTCTACCTTCCCCAGAGACACAATGACTATTTAAAACACCATAGTTTAAGTCACATATGCAGGTTTTAAATCCCACCTCAGATACTTTGTTGTGTTGAGATTGGAAAACTTACCTACCCTCTTTAAATCTCAATTTCTTATCTGTAAAATGGGTGTAACAATATTGGTGGAGTTGTTGGGAAGATTAAAATACCAACATTTATCAATCTTTGAGCAAACTGTATGCACAGAACCTTGCCATTATCAAGAAATGGTGGATATTATTCTAGCTGTCTCCATTTCCTAAATTTCTACTTAAGTACTTAAAGTAATTATGATACCTATTTGCTCATCACGTTTTGTGTCTGGAATTACCTGTCTCCCTGGAGATGAAGAGACTATAAGCAGGTTGACATTGACCATCTTTTCTGTTTATTTTATAGCTTCTGAATTGCCTTGTTCAATTCTAGGTATGTCGTGGGCTCTTAAACACACTTAGGAATTTACTGGCATATTATATAACACATGTGCTGTAAATAGGTCTCGGGAAAAATTAAGTATGTGCTGAAGTTCATAAACCAAGAGGATACGCCATCACAATTATCATTTTCCATCAAAAACTCATCTAACAGTCTTCAGTGAAAAACCTGCACACAAATATGACGGGCCTGCTCTGGATAGCTTTGGTTCTTCATCAGGCCCTGTTTTGAACCCAAATTCAGCCTCTCTTCTCATCCTCCCAAATGTTGATTCAACTCAAAAATCTAGGGAACATGGCAGATTTTCCTGGAGAAAAAAATATCCTACATATCCCCATTATCATCTTAATCTTTCTCCCCTCTCTGACTGGCTGTTCTGCTTCTTCTTCTCTTTCTCCCCTGACCTCAAAGACCCCGGAAAATCCCCATATGGACAACCATAGTTTACCATTGTTTGGAGCACTTAGATCCATTCCCTCGGCTGACACCTGACTCTGTGAACCATTGTCCTGGAACAGTACCTGGCTGGGGTCAACCTGTTCCTTGAGTGTCCTCTTCTTGTGAGAGTGATTTGTCGTCTTAATCCAGCCTCAGGTAGCTTTCTCCCTCTGTGCTGGGACACCTTTCCACTTCCTCTAGCGCCTCTCCATCCTACTCTGCCCTTCCCTTCCATTTTATACCCGTATTAGTCCATTTTCTCTTACTATAACTAAATACTGAGGTCGGGTAACCTATGAAGAAAATCATTTTGCTTAGCTCAAAGTCTTGGAGGCTGAGAGTCCCAAACAGCATGGTGCTGGTTCTTGCAAGGGCCACCCCGACTGCAAAACATGGCAGATGGCATCATGGTGGGAGGGAGACATCACATGGCAAGACAGGAAGCCAGAGAGAGACTGGAGTCCCAGGAGAACTATGTTAATCCCTTCTGAGGGCCTGAAGCCAGTGACCTCCTCTTGAGCCCCACCTCTTAAAGGTCTCACCCACCCTCCCACAGTGCCTCACTGGGCACCAACACTCCCACACTGCATCCCTGGGGATAAACCCTGTGCAAGCCATAGCACTACCTTTCTCACCTTCGTGCTGTTTTCCTTATATCCTCTGTCTTTTCCCTTCACCCTAGTCATCAGCTTTCACCCTTTTCAGAAGGCCTGGAGCTAGTGACTGAGGTGGGGCTGCACAGAAGGAAAGGAATCCTTCATTCCACTGGAGATCCTGATACTGTCTCCTTATCAAAGCACAGAAGGAGGCACCTACCCTCGTGGCCTTAGGAAGTTTTTTTTCTTTCTTGTTTTCAGTTGCCATGAAATCATTGTACATATGTATGGGGTATGATTTTTTTTTTTTTATGTTTCTGGGGATCAAACCCAGGACCTCAGCAAGCGCCCTACCCCTGAGCCACACTGCCAGCCCTGATCTACCTATATAACTCATCATGAATACATTTGAATAATTAGCATGTCCATCACCTCAAGTATTTATTATTTCTTTCTAGTGAGAATATGCCAAATCCTCTCTTTTAGCTATTTTGAAATATACCATATATCATTATCAACTAGAGTTACCTTACCGTGCAATAAAACATTAGAAGTTACTCCTACTCTCCATAACTTTGTAACTGTTGGAAATGGTTTTTATTTGAAGAGGATTAGGGTTCTATGAGTAGGCACATTCAGTTTTAAAAGGAGAAAAAAAATTTCACTCAAAATATTCTAATGCCTTTATTGCTTGAGGTCGGTGGGGACCACAAATATGGAGATTAGAGTGTCTGTCGCGGTAGTGTATAGGTGTATAGGATCCTATAGCATGGCCCACATCCTTTTATCACGACATACATATAGAGAAGGCATTTATTCTGCCTCCATGAGCCCTCAGGATCTGAAAATGAAACACAATAAAAATGAGCTGGTGGTGGGAGAAGCCGGTGCATTCGATTTCTCTGCATTCTCTTTGATTTTGAAAAAGTCTTGAACAGGTGTCATGCTCTGCCGTCGCTCCCTCAGGGAAATGGAGGCTCCCTCCAGTTATTTCCTACCTGAGGACACGGAACGGTGGAAGACGTAGGTACTGATGGCTGTTGACATCTTTTTATAACTGAGAAGCAAATCTGCCAAGAAATAAACATTAATGTAGTATTTCTAGGATTTGTTCCAACTTTTTCATGAAAAGAAAAACCATCTCAGACAATTTAGAAATCGTTGGCGTCTCAGTGTGAGGCGTTGATTCCCCCCTTCTCCCCTTTCCTTCTCTTACCTGCCTGAGCCCCCACAGCTATTATCCCAGCTGTGTTTGCTATGAGTGTGTGTCTCTGATCTTGACCGTGGACATCCAGGCTCACAGGATTCTTTGAGGTCCTTTCTTTTCAGTGGTGGAGACTTGCCTCCCTCCCTTCTCCTCCGCCTCCTACCAAACTGCTGTTTTGTGTTTCTGTTGCAACGGGACCATGTTTTTCACTTTACCAAGAGGAAGCCAGGGGCCTTCAGTGGGAAAGCAAGAGGTTTCCAGTGCTCACCAAGTACAGATGCGCAGGAAATGGGGGACTCGTGTGGCTTCCCTATAGGGAACTTCTCAGCGACAATGCCATGTCCTGTGTGGGAGGCCCCCTTTGCTCCTCAGTGTCTCCCAGCCTGCCTGGCTCCAAAGGTCCCTTGGAATAATTCAACTTCTTATCTAAGGTACAGGCCAGTTTCCTTGAGCCACCAACTGCTTGGTTGCACAACAAATCGGTTATATAAGAGGATCTTAAGAAAGAATAAAACCCTAAGCCCAGCATAACTGCCTCTCTCCAGGCTTCAGGCCCAGTCACAAGAAAGGGGGCCCAGTGGGGGGCCACTGGTCCATTTGCAAACAGAAACAGCACAGAGGACGGCTGGCCTTGCTGAATGGTGTTCAAGGGCTTCACTTTGTCCTTGATGTTTCCTCTGACTCCCTCAACCCTTACCCCACCTCAGCACCCCAAACACAAGCCCTAATTATCCTGGATGAAAATAGAGCTCTCCTCATCATTTATTTATTTTTAGCACTTGCTCAAACTAATTGGTAGCCCTGCAACCCATACATAATACAGTGATCTGGAGGAAACTGACAGCTACTTAATGACGGATTATATTGTGTGAGGACAGAGCGCATGAGGCTGACTCTGCAGCGAGGTCTGCTTTGACTGCTGTCTTCCAGGGGTTTATGCTTTCAGATACACTTGATCTTCAAGGGTTATTACCAGAAGTTAGACAGCCAAATCTCAGTGCCCAACCCAGCCTCTCCTGACTTCTTTATCTGGTTTCCATCGGTGAGTTAGCCAGATCTGAGCCCCCTACTATATTTAAGAGGGCCCTGTTCTTGAATCCTTTACCAGCCTTGGCTCTCTAATGGAAAGGATGGGAGGATTCCAGAAAAGCAAGTGTTCTGGAGGCAGATGCATTTGGGAGAGTCTCAGCTGACTTTGAATGAATCACCTAAACTCTCAGCCTCAGTTTTCTCATCTTGCTAGACAGAGAATAAGACTCACTCTCCAATGTATTTTGGAAGACCAATGTGGAAACTGCCCTGTACAAGCTTAGATACTCAATAGAAACTTCTTTCATTCTTTGAATTTGTAGCCTCTGCAAGATTTCTTACACATGCAGATATAGTTCCTAGACCTGTTTGCTCTAAGGAGCTATAAACAAAACATGCCTAATTTGCACTTGCATTTTGTTTTTTTATAGTGGGTTAATAATATAATATAGGTGACATATCAAGATACCACATAAGGTATCAGTGAGAAGATTCTGGAACTCTATTACTGATTCTAGCTGCAAATGTACTCAAGAGCTGTGGAATCAAGAAGGCCCACTTTGGAATCCTAGGCCAATGTGTGACCTTGAATAAATCCTTTACTATCTCTGAGCCTTAATTTTCTCATTTTATCTCATAGGGATTTTGTGAGTATTAAATACAAAAATCAGTACAACTTCTATCAAGGTGTGGATCTTAGTCTTCCAGAGGCCCATATGATAAAGACTTGGTCATCATCCAATGGCACTTTTGAAGAGGTAGGCTGCTGGGTGCTGTGGCGCATGTCTGTAATCTCAGCAGCTCTGTGGCTGAGGCAGGAGGATCAGAGTTCAAAGCCAGACTCAGCAAAAGTGAGGCACTAAGCAACTCAGTGAGACTCTGTCTCTAAATAAAATACAAATTAGGGCTGGGGATGTGGCTCAGTGTTCGAGTGCCCCTGAGTTTAATCCCCGGCATCCCCTACCCCCCAAAAAAGAAGAGGTAGGGCCTACTGGCAGGAAGTTAGGTCACTGGGGCATGACCTTGAAGAAGACATTGGGACCCCAGACCCCTCTTCTTTCTCTCTTTTTCTTTCCTGGAAGCTTCGAGGTAAGGACCTTCCTCTGCCACGTGCTTCCTTCCAGATGTACTGTTCTACCACAGGCCCAAAGCAACAGGGCCAAGCTACCATGGACCGAAACCTCTGAAATCATGGGTCAAAATAAATCTTTTTAAGATACACTCGGTATCTTTTAAGTTGACCATCTCCAGTATTTTGTCACAGTGAAGGGAAACTGATTAGCACAGCATCCAAAGGACTGAAATAGAGAGACCTCAAAATAGGAATTTCTTCTACCCATTGATTAATCTTTTATATTAATTTTTCATATTTTCAACTGGAATAGATATTCAGTCATGTAACAAATATTTATTGAGGACTTTGTATGTAAGAGATATGATTCTAATTGTTGGACATAATTATTCTCTGGTTTGGGGAGAAAGAAGATAAACTGGCAAACAATTCGTGTCGTTTTGTTTGAAATAATGAAATTCGGTTAGGTTAATGTTACAGTGTTACTTTTTCATTCAATGTTATTTCATTTCATGTATAATCATCTATATCAGGACATAGAGAGCTTTTTCTTCTTTTTATATAGATGCACATTATTCCAAAGCATATGTACATAAACACACACACACACACAAATGCACTCATACACTGTATTATTCAGCCATTGATGGACCTCTGAATTTCTATCTCTTGGCAGCAGAGAAAGAATTAGAAAATTGATACACATTTGACTTTACATTTTAAATATCATAACCCAAAACACTATCAGCTGTCATGACTTCTGAAGGTCATGTGTCTTTTTGAGGCACATTTATCTTTCCTCTTATTCACCACGTTTCACCAATTACCTTAGTTTTCTGGAAACGCTGGGTCTAGGTTTCTCTGTGCACCTTTCTCACTTCCCATGAGCTGAGGGAAGCAGATAGGACTTGGATCTTCTGGGCTGCTTTGTGCTGAGTATGACCACGGACATGTTTCTTGGCCACCTTGGCTCCTACCTCTTTTTCTAGAAACTGAGGATTATAATTCCCACCTCCTTTTGTTACCTCATACATGTCATTACTTTGGCAATTCACCAGGAGCACCAACCCTGCTTCCCTGAGAGTCCCTAGAGGTGCTTTAGGAATCCACTCACAAGTCCCTCTGTCCTTCCTTTCCTCCATGGTCACCCATTTCTCTCATGCCACTGCCTTCTTAGGTGATTTTCTGTTTTAATTTTTAAAAGTAGACTTAATTTTGGGGAGGAGGGTACCAGGGATTGAACTCAGGGTGAATTAACCACTGAGCAACATCGCCAGCCCTATTTTATATTTTATTTAGAGACTGGGTCACACTGAGTTGCTTAGCACCTTGCTTTTGCTGAGGCTGGCTTTGAATTTGAGATCCTCCTGCCTCAGCCACCCCAAGCCGCTGGGATTACAGGTGTGCGCCAACACAGGAGGCAAAAGTAGACTTAATGTTTATAGTAGTTTTATGACAGAAAAATTAAACAGGAAAGTAGGGATAGTTCTCATTTTTACCCTTCCCTTCCCCATCACCATGATCATCAATGTCCGAAGTCCACAGGTTACATCAGTGTTCACTCTTGATAGTGCACATCCTTCTGTTGATATGTATATATGTTATCATACCATATGAAGTATAGTTTCCTTACCCTGAAAATCCTCTGTGCTCAACCTATCTATCGAACCTCCTTCCCCTAACCTCCAGCAACCATTTCTTTAAAAAACATTTCCCTAGTTTTGCCTTTTCCAGAATGTCCTACACTATGTCGTCTTTTAAGATTGACAAAATCTTACTTCGTAATATACAGTTAATATTCCTCCATGTGTTTTCATGGCTTAAAAAGCTATTTTTTTCTATCTTGCATAATGTTCCCTTGTATGGATATGCTGTAATTTATTTATCCATTCACCCACTGAAGGACATCCTGGTTCCTTCCAAATTTTGACAAATATGAATAAGAGTGCAATAAACATTTGTGTGCAGGCGTCTGTGGAGACATGTATTTTCAACTCATTTGAGTTAATACCAACAAGATCAAATACTGGATTGTATGGTAAGAAAGGCTTTAGCTTTATAGGCAGCTACCAAACTGTCTGTCAAAGTGGTAGCACCTATTTGCATTCTCACTAGCTATGGGAATTCCTGTGGCTTCACGTCTTCACCAGCATTTGGTGCTCTTTGTGTTTTGGACTTTAGTCATTTGGTGGTATCCCATTATTGTTTTAATTTTCAATTCCCAAATCCCAAATGATGTTGAGCATTATTCTTTTAATTTTCTTATTTCATTTCTCGAATTTTGGCTTGTTTCAGTTATTAGTGTTGATTCTTCATTGCAAGGAAGTAATATTTATCTTATAGAGTCATTATGGGGAACAAAACAAAGAATAGGATAATTTAAAATACAAGGTCTCAGTTTATAGTTTTTATCTTCTTGTGTCTTCTACATCTTGCTCAAGTTTGATGAAGCTAGAGCTAGAAGTCATAATGGTGGAAAGTTAATGCTCAGAAATGGTGTTTAAGTTAGCATAAACACCGTAGCACACTGGACCTCTTTATACTCTTCAAAATCATTTAGGAATCCAAAGAACTTTTGTTTATGAAGATTGAATCTCTTTATATATGCCATATGAGAAGTTAAAAATTCTTAAATGTGGGTATTTATTAACTTAATAAAAATAAAGAGCTCATTACCTTTTATTACAAATAACATTTTATGAGAAATACCCCATGTTTCAAACATTAATGAGAAGAACGACATTGTGCCACATTTTGGGGATCTCTTTTAATATTCAGTTTAATACAAGACTGCTAGATTCTCAGAACTCTTTCTGTATTTGATCCGTTATGATATGTTGTTTTGGTTCAAGCGTGTGAAAAACATTTAGATTTACACAGATGTGCAGTTGGAAAATTTTATGGAGTTCTGGGACCCTCTGGAAAGGATCCTGGGGAGGCAATCACAAGGGTTGTTGGATTACACTTTAAGAACCACCAACATGGGGACATGGTATCTGATCTGCACATGGACATATTTTTGGTGTGACCAACAAGTATCCATGAATGTGACTTTCACTCA